TCCTGTCACAAAGCCTTGTCTGCAAAGCCTCCTCCTTGTGATCAAAAGAATTATATGGATCACTTTATGGCGATTTGTGCTTTTTCTCTTAAAATAAATATTGTATGTTTTGTATAAAAAATCCAGTCTGGTGAGAAAACTGTCACTGTAATTATTCTCACAGGCTGTTTAAGTTTAAATGTATGTATTCATGTGGGTTTCGCTACATCAAGGTCTGAAAACCACTCATTTTACAGGGATCATTTGCTATACAGGGCTAATAGTGCTGTTCTGAAGAGAAGCAAGGCGTTTTCTGCTCATTGACTATGGATGAGCATCTGGTCAATGTGTGAGTGCGATGTGATGGTGCTACTGTTTTTTATGCACAGACAAATATGCAGGAGCAGAGCACCTACATCTCCTCTATGGTGGATTAAATGCACATTTTGTGTTTAATTGTGGGTAAATGAGAGCAAGACAACAGGTGTTTAAAAACGTCACAGATTTTGTATTTTTTATTTTTTTCACAAACTGAACGTAAAAATGTGCTTTTCAATTTTTAGTAAATGTGTCAGTTAATATTCAGGTGTTCTGCTTCAGGCCCAAAGCGCATGAGTGAAAAACACAAACAGGTCACTCAGGCCTTTCTGTACCGAGTTTGCATGCTTCTCCCCATGTCTGTATGAATTATGAATAAATCAATTGGGCCTTTACTCCTGAAATAAAATAAGTAGTATTGCATACTTTTACAAGGACACAAAGAACTTTGACTTAGTTGACCAGTGCGTTTGACACTATCAGGTTGGTTCTGCTGGCTGAGGATCTGACAGTGATGCTGGTAGATGCAGGCAGATGCCAGTCTGGTGTCCTTCACTGAGGTAATCCACTGTGGGTGTGGACGAGAAGTACAAGCACCTGGGGGTACATAGGACAATAAACTGGACTGGAGCAAGAATGTGGAGCTGCCTGCAAGAAGGGCCAGAGTCGCCTCTACAGTCTGAGGAGGCTGAGGTTCTTTCACATCTGCAGGACACTGCTCAGAATGTTCCTCGAGTCTATGGTGGGCAAGGCCATCTTGTACACTGTGGTCTGCTGGGGACGCAGTCTGTACCTGAGGGACATTAATACTTAGTAAGATCATGAAGAAGACTGGTCATGTTGTGGGGGTGGAGCTGGACTCTCTGACTGTAGTGTTGGACAAGAGGATGTTGTCCAAAATCAGCACTATTCTGGACTCATCCTCCCACTCACTCCAAAATGTGCTGGTCAGCTACAAGAGCTCGTTCAGCCATAGACTGTTACTGCCAGGCTGCTACACTGAGAGACACAGAAATCATTCTTGTCTGTCGCCATCAAACTGCTGAACTCGCTGTAAAGTCTTACTTTTGCGATATTGTCTTCATACTCACTGTTTTAAAACTGTAGATAAATATGTAAATATTTTATGCAGGTACTATATTTTTACAATTTGAATTAAAATGTAAGTTTATTTTTTCCTCACTTAATCAGTTGGTATACATAAATACTATTTAACACAACTTATCATCCGCCTATTCCCTTACTGCTCAGATTCATGTGCTCATATTGAGTTATTAGAATGTCCCAGCTGTGGGGTAAACGTGAGGGCTAGCACATCATGCGAATACGTCATAAAGCCTATTTAGATGTACACACTCTGCATATAATGGACACATCATCAGCCTGTAAATTTGTAAGTCCAGCACAAGTTTGTCCAATGATTAAAATGTTACAGCTGGGCACTGCTGCAATTATTCTATCATTAAGTGAATATATTGTTGCAGTGGGCTTATAGTTCTGTTGATTTAGTGTTAATCTACTTTATAAATAAAATGACCTTTATAGACAAGGATGTGCATCTCGGGTGAAAATTAGCTTAATCCGTTTTCGCAGTACAATTTAATGAGCAAGAAACAAGCAGAAGAGATTTCCATAGCAGTGGAGTTTATCATTATACAGTATTAGATCCAAGTGAAGAATGGCCTGTGATGTATCCCTGTAACTCTCATCTATCTGAGTTAATTTTATCTTAAACTGGGCAAAGCTCATTTATAGACTGTCAACAAGTTGCATAATCAAATAAGGCTTTTCTTATGTGGCTTGTATGCATTCTGATCATCGAGAAAGTTAGGTTTCTTTTGGCTTTGAGAAAATACTCTGTTAAAGTCTATTAAATGAGTTGTGTAAATGTGTAAAAGTAATATATTTAACTATGGTACTGGTTAAATAGTAGCCTCAAAAGGATCATTAGTAGCTGAAGGCCTAATTTAAAGATGTTGTATTTTCAAATTAGGATATGGATATGGCACTTATTTGTCTCCAAGGAAATGTTAATGTTCCACTGAATTCTTATAAGGATAGTTATGTATTTGTACATGTGCATGAACTTTGCTTCTTATATGCTTCTATACATATTAGTTGCCTTAACTTCTTGGATTTGTCAACGTGTACATTTCTGTATACTCTATAGGCTCTCAAAAACATATTAAGTTTTCAGATACATAAAAGAGCACATTCCTTCTTGATTTCAAAGCATTTATTTTTAAAGCAGTCAGAAGAATTCTTTGTAGAAGTAATACATGTCCCCTGATGTTGGCGTCCCTGCAGTCCTGAATAGATTCTTTTCATTTTCTTCACTCTATAGTGGAAGAGCATCCACCCATGCACAAAACAGGCATATGCACCAAATAGTAAAAGGTGAAAGAATCCAAATTTAAATTAAGAAATGTAGTTGGTCAAATATGGTGTCATTTTAAGAATATAAATACATCAATCAGGCATAACATTATGACCACTAATAAAAGGTTAAAGGTCATCTCTTCATTGTGGAGCTGTCTAATCTTTTTATTAAACTAAAACTTACGTCAAATTCGAAAAAATAAAATAAAAATAAAGTCAACATGAATGAATAAAAGGAACGGGAGACTAGATCATAGAGCCCCAAAAGAGACCATAAACAAACTCACAGTCCAAGGAGCAAGGAACATCCCATAAAGCAATACAATACCATTTATCTTTGTTAAATAAACACATATTTTCTGGTTGACTAAAGCTGTTATCGATTTATTTGATAACATCTTATTAGACCAAATCTAGGCTAAAGTCATTTTAGTCAATAGAAAAAAATAAAATAAAAAATCATTTAAATTCAACGCTGGTTTGGTCTTACTCTTTTGCCTGACTGGTACAAGCCTGTATGACACATTATTGACACTTTGGTGCTTTACAAATCAGAAAATCCTCAAATGTTAAGAAAGATTTTATGGCAATTTATGCAGAATAAGCACGCTCGAGAGAGAAAGAGAAACAGAGAGAGTGTGAGGAGTCCGTAGGGTGGGCACAGATGGTGGTCTATCAAAAGTGACTCACAGTATGAGCGGATGAATGGCTTATTAGTGTTGCCCTTCTAATAGTAGCAACTGAACTGAGCGTCGCTAAGTAAAGGTCAAAGTGTTCTGTAGAAATCTAAAACACAGTAGTCCTGGTTAAATGCCCGTTATGCCTGATTCAAGTAGGAGTCTTATAACCCCAATTATTTCAAAATAAGTTGGGCCACTGTGTGAAATGTAAACAAAGCAATTACAAATAAATATCATTATAATAATCTTATATAATAATAGATTACAGAATACAGTGTCAAAACTGAATACATTTGTTACATTGTGTTGAGCTCTTTTACATGTCTTGTGTATTACTTTTATGATGAAGTCATATAGAAAAAGTACACAAGTATTTTTAGAAATTTGTATCACTCTCATTAAACCTAATACCCCCTACATTATTCCATTATTCATATGACTCAATGAAACCAAAGTGAAACTGTACGCAATTTACCTTAGATGATTTCTAAATAATCCTTGAGCTGTTTTTAGTTGGTGATGATGAAAGCATATCTGAGACTAAATCCATTTTCAGGGTTTACGTCTTGGTTTCATCACCTGGAGAACTTTTTTTTTTTTTTTAATAATCTATAAATGATACTGTTGCTTATTTAAATGTGCAAATAGCATGCAGTCTTTGTTTGTCATTAAATGTAATGTCTCAATCAGATGGAGGCCTGTAGCTGGTGTATAGGTCATATCTCAAAAACAATATCCTCAATTAAATTTTATATTAATGACAAAATCTTGCTTATTTTTCTTGTCTCTTGGCAAGTCTCCATTAAATCATACAACTATTGTTGTAGTTGTAGTTGTAGTTTGCGCTCTATAGTATTTTGGAATGATTAATGGTGTTTTAACAGTTTTTTTATTGTAATGTTGTTTCCTCATCACAACCATACCTAAAGTTGTGTTTTGTATTTTTTATTTTATTTTATTTTTTTGTTGTTGTTTTGTTTTTGTTTAGTTTTAGTTTATTTAGTTTATTTGATAGGGACCTTGTACAGGAGCATGAATGAAAGAAACATTGAGGAGATGCTTTGCACTAGTTTCATTCACTCTGGTTTAACACACACCCTTGCATATTTAAGAGTTCTTCTCTCAAACACTCTGTTCCACCTTGTGATGTCAGGTGGTAATACAGGAAGTGCTGCACTCTGTTTCTAAACCCCACACATCCTCACTAGAATCATTTGGATGATTTCAACCTTAGACTTGACAATCTATTCTTTACTGAAGTAAAGCTGACCACAACTACAACTTCATGACATCACAAGGTAGGACAGCATTTAGAGCATTTAGAGCTTTGGAGAGGTAGACGGACTAATAATATGTGTGAATGAAACAAAACACAACTCCAGGTATATTTTTGATGAGGTAGCAACGTTAGAAAGTGGATAAAAGCTCCCAAGAATCCATTTCGCGTAATATAGAACTTAACTTAAACTTAAACTTTTTAGTGACTGTACTATTATGGCCTGTTCTGCACTTTGGTAAACTGTGATTGTTTTTTGCTATAGAAACAAAATTTGACTTGACTTATTGAATAAAAAACTTCACATTCCACACAGTGCCCCAGCTGTTTTTGTAACATTTTTGCATGTCCACAGACAGCAGCACGAGTCAGCGGTCTGCATTCATCCGCCGTAGTTTGGGGGGCAGGTTGTCCTCTGGTCGCCCCCCGCCCAGTGGACCCTGCCCCTGTGTGATGGTGCTGATGCCCGGGGAAATCAGTCTGTCTCTCTCCACCTCCATCTCCTCTGCCTCTCCGTCCAAAGGTAACAGCTGCACCTGTTCCTCCAAGTGTCCCTGCCTCACCACAGGGATAGAGCTGGACCTCAGCCTCTGGATACTGAGCGGTAAGTCCCCCGTGCTGGAGGCCTTACCCCCCGGCAGAGGTGTGCCCGTCTTCAGCCCCCTCCAAAGGTTCTCCTCTTTCGTTGAGCTCATTCGCTGGAGTTTGGGGGGTATCCTGGTCACTTGTTCCTCTATATGATCTGCATAGTCAGCCGATAAGAGTCGCTCCTTGCGCCCAGGTACGCGCCCACTGTTGTTCCCCAGTGAAGGTGAAGAAGGTGTGGGTGCGACGGGCAGGGGGTTGGGGGATGTGATGGAGGATTTCTCTTCTTGTTCTTTGACGCTGTACGGGGGAGTGGGGACCTCGAAGGTGTTGTGGAACTGGGAGTAGTCCACCCTGAAGAAGCCCTCCTCCAGGGACATGACTGGGAGGAAGCGGTGACCCCATAGAACCTCGTCTTCAGTGTAGGACGTCCTGGCCTGGCATGTCATACCTATAACCAGAGCACAAGACAAATGCATTAGGGATTTTTCTGGTTTTATTTTTACTATTTTACTGAGAATATTATGAGACTTTTTATATTGAATTATCATATTATTGTAATAATGCAATATCAAAAGTCTCATCATGAAAGTAAAGTAATTCCTTTTAACCACTTTAATTTCATGGTCTTTAAATATTTAACGATTGAAGCGGCTCTTTATTTCTTCATATCCATCCTGAAGTTGTTTAACATTTCAGTACATAATAACATTTCAGAGCAGTATTCTGCATATATAAGTGGAATATCATATACATTGTTTTGTTACAGAGACATGAGTAATAGCGGCTCAGTGGTAGAGCATTTGTTCACAAACCCAAAGGTTGACTGTTTGATTCACAGCTTCCATCAGTCAACTGTGGCGAAGTGAATAAGTGATACATTTTAAAGTTGTTTTAAGTGGCTTAAAAAAGACCATGAAATTTAAGTGGTTAAAAATGTATTATTTTTCTATGAAAGGTAAATGATGGGACTAAATGTTTTGAGAAAAAATGCATAAACAATTTAAATTTACATGGTGGCAGTCACAACCCTGGATAAGTGTACTTTACTTGGAGGCAGATGATACTGGAGATGGTACTGTTCTGGCCTTGGAGGGGAAAGTAATAAGTGTAACATAAACACCAAATGTCAGTGGTTATTAGTATTCAAATTGTATTGTAAAAATGATCAATTACGGTTTGGAAATGCTGGTTTTGAACTGTGGACAATGAGGATAAAAGCCTAATAACGCTGTAATACGTCTTGATTAAAGTAAATCCTGCTTTGTCCTTTTGTACAGTAAAGTTCCTATTATTTTGGATTTTTGTTCAGTTAAGAATTCCTTATACTTGTCTGCACTAATTCCTTATACTTGTCTGCACTAAGTCAACATTAGACAGAATCAGAAGTATACTCATTTTGAACTTGAATGCATTCTTAATGTGTCTCACATTTTTTTGTCCTAGAATATCAGTTATAGTTACTACTCCTTACTATTTCCATCCTTTGTGTTTTTGTATTAATTACCCTATTAAACAGCAAACACACACCAGTGGTTTCAACAATGCCCTCCAGGATGACCACGATCTCAAATTGTTCGTTCATGAGCGAGCGTTGGGACAGGTCAAAGAACGGACTCTTGGTGTTGATCTCGTGGCAAATGGTCAACGGAGACACCAAGAAGAGCTGATCAGCTCCAGTCCCAAACCCCACGTCCAACTCACACTGATCCAGAGGCAGAAATTCACCCTCTGGAGTTTGCCGTGACTGCAAAGAAACATGACACTACTTTAGAAACACAAGAGTACTTAGGATGACATTTTGACACCACTTTACAATCTTTAAATCATTGAAGAAAAGTCGAACGTGACCAGAATTTAGATTTTAAGCTGCTTTGTTTGCTACTACCTACAGGAATCCCAAGTCATTACGTTCTTGTGCTATAAAAATGTATACGATCCTCTGTTCAGGGTGACAACCTGCATTTTTATGAGCCTATAGATAACTTGGATGTCTTCAGGGTATCTTTTAAACCTAGCGCATACACTAGTCGTTCTTATGTTATTTCTGGTGTAATCCAAATGCAATATATGATGTTGACGGTTACTGGAAATGAGTTCTAGAAAAGGCAATTTTCTTTGGCTATTTGACACGTTGTGACCTGAAATGGGTTGGAGGTGGTGGGGTTTAACAAGATGAAAGAGTGGATTTAAAATCTCTCAAGGAGAAACCTGGCTGATAAGGTACAGAACACAGGTGCTTTTCTGCCTTGTAGCTGCATTGAACAAAAACAAAAAAATCACTAGAAACATGAAAGATGTGGAATAGTGTGCAAATTTACAATATCAAAGGCAGTGAATTAAACGTAGATCCTTCTTTCTCTATGTAATTAGAGAGCGACAAAACACAAATATCATGAAACGAGACAATCTTTTGATATAATTTTCATGGATAAATCATTGTTTAGTTTTTACTACGCATAATTATATTGTAACTTATGTTTTTTGAAATACTTTTCAGCGAAAGCAGTACTTGCACCAAATTGTTATTATGATGTCTGCACTCCTCAGCAACCTTATGTAATTTTTAACATACTAGAGGCATATTGACGAAAAAATGTCCTCCCTCTCTCTATCTACCTAGCACTTTAGCAATGGACCCACCCACCTCCACTCTAAAATACGACCACAACCCTATCACTACTGTCAGCATCAGCAGTTCTCACACCTCATCTCGGGAAAACATGATGACAAGATATGATAGATATGTCCTAGCAAGAATCTTCACTGTCATCAGTATTATGTGTGTGCGCAACAGTGTATGTGTGTGTGTGTGTGTGTGTGCACGACTGTGTGTGTGTTATGAGGTGGTATTTATTTACTATAGTCTTTAAAGATGTTAAACTGATGTCAAATGCTTGGTTGTATTTTTAATTTGTTATAACCATAAAGGGGAGGAAAGTAAATTAAGATTGCAGTAAAAAGTGGAGTGCATATTAATGCCCAGATACTAATCAAAGTTAAAACCAGTATATATAAAAAAAAAAAAAACTAGACACTAATTTAAAGATAGAAAAATAAGCTTTGATAACAGAGCAAAGTTGGACCTTTTCGTTATCAATTTTAAATGCTCTTGATCTATATCAGAAATCATATAAGTCCACAGCATTTTTTTTTCAAGAATCTATTAATTACAACTATGTTGTTTAAAAAATTAAGTGTAATTTATCAGAAATCTGTATCAAGCCTTTTGTTAGTATTAAAATTGAGTTTGAACTTAAATTTGAAAAACATGCATTCTTACTGTGAGTGATACTATGCTTTAGTGCATTACATACCTATTATGCTATTACATACTATTTTTTGTCTTTGAATATTAGTTATAATTACTGTTTATTTTCAATGATTGTTGAAGAATAAGTTCTATTGTGTAAAAAAGTGTGTAATTTATCATTTATAGTCATGGTGATAACACTAGTGCAGATTATATGTATTTACTAACTCGTGATTGATTTCACTGACCATATCACTCTATTTTATGTCAACAAATGAATTCCCCCTAGTATTAGTGCAACAAAACAAGTGCACAGGCGCTTTTACAACCACAAAAACATCCACTTCTAACTAACAGCACAATCTGAATTCCAAGCATATTATTTTCAACAGGCAAATTCCATTTAGTCTTTCAGAGAGGGCGCTTTTCAAGAGGAAGAAAAGCAAGTGTCTCAGAAAAAAGTCAATCAATGACAAGTTCCAATAGCCAAAGTCAAACAGTCTGCTTCCCCACATTTCACTGACAAATAAAAAGCTAATTAAGCCCAGTGTCCCTTGTGGATCTAACTTATTACCTGCGCTGGGATAGAGGCTGCTGAAGACTGGAGCTGAAATATTCGCTTTGGTACAGAGTTGTTCCCCAGCTAAGAGGAGCGGAAAGAGGAACGGGGAAAAGCTTCCAGACCACAGATGGCAAACAGACTGTCATTTGTATTCACAGAGAAGTGGAGGACCTATGGGTGTGACATTTCGCAGTAAGACCGCCTGCACCCACCGATCCCTGGACCACGATGCTGAGGTGCCTTGGCGATGGGTGCCAGAGAAAATTTGTAAGGCATTTACTATATCTATTTTCGTTTCATTAGTTCATAGCTTTAATATTGATGAATGGATGAATGAATGGTGCTTATGCCAACAACAATTGACAAGGTACAAGACAATGGCCAGACCACACATTACTCTTTTGTACTGTGTTGTTTGAGCTGCTAGGTCCAAGTATTTTCCCTTATTGATCAATAAAGTTTGTCTAGGTCAGTTTCACCTTATTTAAGTCATCAATTCACCTATGAATGTTACTTCTAATACAGATTTTGGAGAGATTTGGAGAGATATAGTAGTCACAACAATACATTTTGAAGCATGATAAATTGAAACTACTTCATGGCACTGACACAATAACAAGATAGTCTGAGTCCAAGTCCAAAATAGCAAGAAAATTCAAGTTAGGAGTTAAGATTCTGAGTTATGACGTAGAAGTTACAATACAATTTGAGCTGTACGGGGTTAAATATGTATTACATCTAAAATAACAAAAAATCTCCCCATTATTGTAAAGAATGTGTACACACTATAAATATTGAGCTTAAAAATAAATATTATTCGAGATATACATTGAGCGATAAATCAATATAGTAATTATTGAGACAGGCCTCGATTATAGATCTCCTGTATATGGAACCAACAGCCTGACTGCAAAGAAATAAAAATGCTAAGCACACTTGCGGCTAGCTTAGTGGTTAAAGCTTTCATCCACAAACCCAGTGGTCAACGATTTGATCATCAGAAACATAAAAACAAATTAACTGCATGAATCGTGATCAAATTGAGATTGTGAAGCTTGTGATATGATTTCTTTGGCCTGTCACCAACTACTTAAGCAGGTGATTTTAAACACTATTCATAGAGTCTTACACAACAGTGCTGCAATAAAAATCCTGCTCACCAAAGGAAAGAGGGCTGCTTTGATGGTGAATGGTTTTAACAAGGTGAAAGCTTTGTGTGCGGTTTAGACCTGCTAAGCACTGAGGGCCACAAGGGGAAATTAATGGCCTTTAGAGGAGGACCTGATGGAAAGGGGGCTTCATTTAGCGGACCACCTGAGATACACCTTACCCTCATGGGACCAGCTGCTTTTAGAGACATGCAAAGAGACACAAGATGAAAGGCCCTTATGTTCCAGTAGGTTTGGTGCATCTTGAGTTTAAGATTTCACGTTAGCAGCATAACTAATAATGGCGAGTGGGTGTATAGCATGAAATGGTAGTGAAGAGTGGGGACAGGCATTTATCACATTGACCAGGCTGGGAATTGATCTAACAGCGCTGTGGTCAGCAAAGAACCTCACATGTGTATTACGCTCAAACCTTTCATCCACAGCGCCCTTCAAAAATTACATTATGAGGCCTAATCAGAGTTTTTAAAGTGTCTGCACCCAAGTTGTTCTGCCCTAGTGTGACTGCAAAACTCCTCTCTGACCTCTGAAAGTCATGAAAAAGCCAATTTTTAATTCTTTGTGGTGAATAATTATGATGCTAGGGAATGTGTGGACAAAGTGAGGAGTAACAAAATCAACTAGTTACATTTCTGATGTTTTTAAGTCATTAAAAGTCTGGTACAGCTCTTATAAAAATCTATTTTGGCCCACCCTGAGTTGACATCCCTATTCCCGATTTCTCAACTATCCTGAACACTGGTCTCTCTTTTGTCTTCCCCCTCCTACATTCCTTCTGCCTGTCGTTCAAACTTTGACAACAGCAGTTCCTTGTGAGATGCGTTGACATGTCTTCTTTCTTGCTTGTCTCTCTAGTTTAACCAGAGTCTCCTTTGCCTCCTGTCTCCTTATCGCCAATGTCCTGCTGCGGGCTGTTCCACAGAGACCCCCCCCTGCCCCTCCCTTCCACTCTACGACAGTGATGAGCAGCACCAAGGCCCCTCCTCCTGTCCCCTTGTGCTGTTGTCCAGTGCCAAATCACGTTAGTTAAATACTTTGGAGGTCAGATGTCTACAAATCTCTACAAATGCAAATGCTCTGTTTACGGATCATAATATTCTGCCAGGCCTGCAGAGGACATTGCACCACTCTTCCCACTGTTTTTTTAACGACATCTAATTTAATATTTATGGATGAGCAAGGGCAGTTTGGGGTTTATAAGCATTGCAGATGTAGGGAATGTCCTGCCAGATCAGTCACATTGTCCCAAGACACTACATTTTTACTCCATTTAGATCCCAGATTATAACAAGGAAAGATAATATAGTAACAGTGGCTTTGTTTACATACTCTTCAAAATCTTATTATAATCTGATTTCTGGACCTTTTATGATTATTTTAATGACATGCAAACTGCAAAATCTGATGTGAGTAACAAGAGGAATAAAACACCTGATTTTGTTGTGCACATGTTGTTTTAATAGACATGTAACTCCACAATATTAGTATCTGGGGGAATGTAATTTGCTGGAAATAAATGTTGAACAAGGTATTATGCAATGGACTAAACGCTTATGAAAACATTAATGAAAAGGTGTAATCTCAGCCATATGAAAGATATGCTACCGTAAAATTGAAGTGTTTTATCAGAGCACACATACATACACATACTCTTAACATATGTATTCCCAAACATAAATCAAGAACTTCTTTTGAGAACTGCCATTACTTTGATCTTTTGCCTGGCACATCAGCGTATCCATGTTTTGTGGGAATTTACGACATCAGCGACATCCTGGACATCCGCGGTGAGCTTGTCCCCGTGCTTTTACACAGCGCGGTCATTAGGATTTACTGCAGCATGCCTCATTTCAGCGCTCAGCTTTGTGGACAGCCTGACAGTGACCTTGAATTGTACTTTACGTTTATACTAGATGTGCCACTCTTTCTACCACAGGGCAATATAGGTCTATACTTTGATGATCTTTCAAGGTCTTCAATACTTGCTCCTTATCTTTACCAAGCAGTTAGATGCAGTAGTGTAAAAGTGTAGCATATACATATGCATATCATAAAAGAGTTTAATTATTTATAGTTCAGTTATTAAAATTGTAATCAAATGGAGAGTTTAAATTGACAAGTTTGGGACTTTTTGACTCAGAGGTCTGTAATTAATCCTGTAGCAGAAAAAGCATCTTTCTGACAGGAGTTTGCACACTCTCCTTTTGATAGGACTACTGGGCTCTTTGTCTAACTATTCTAGCATGTGAAACTGTATAGTGATGGGAAGAATACTTTACAAGTAGTAAGTATTTTGTAATGCATTCTAATACAATGTCCCATCAGAATACTGTATTCTGAATACTTTGAATACTTTTACACTGAGTTGCATTTAAATTATAGTGTAAAGACACAACATAGTATTAATAACAATTTTACATTTATTTCACTGTTTTTAATCACCAATTGGAGATGGAAAAAAATCACTCATGCACACACACCACAAGAGCAGAGTTCTCTTTTTTTCTCACTGATTATGTGCAGTTTGAAGCTTAAATTACATTATCAAATACTGTAATGTTTTCCTTTAATTGTAGGAAAGTATCAATATTCTGAATACCAACAAATAAAAAAGTAACTGTATTGAATACAGTTACTCAAAATTTGCATTCAGAATATGGTGCATGTATTCAGTAACTTCCCAACACTGTGTAGCCTTTCTATGCAACTTTAGTGTCAGTAATTCAAAGTGTTTGCCCAGCACACCTTAAAAACTATTACAAAATGCCACATGTACTGGTATAAGTGTAGAGTAACCTGTTGTAGTGATGTTAACATACTGAGAAGTTCTGCTGGCGTTCCCTGCAGCTCCACAAAGTACACTGTCACTCGAGATTGTCACGCTACCATGGCGACAAGAGCAGCACCGACCCCAACTGTCACAACAAACTCCACATCAGACCAGCTAATAATGCTAACGCCCAGGAGAAAAATCCACTTATGAGGAGGATCAAACACTTAATATGTACTCTATTATCAGTACTTGTACTTGGAACAAACTACATAGCAGCTTGTTAAGTCATTAAGTGCACAATGTGTCTGGATGTGATGGATTTAAAGTTATTTAGAGAATGGTCATGTTTTTTAGCCTAGTTTTTGGACAGGCCAAATAAACTAATAATTGCACATAATATTGATATTGAACGTAAAACATTTGCAAAGTTCCTTGTTCAATAGGATAAGTAGTCCTACAAATACGCTTAATTTACTCATTTTCCTTGTCCATTTAACCAATCAATAGCTTACATATCAATCAAATCCATAATGTTATAGTCTAGAATTATGTGATGCTTGAATCCACTTTTTAGCAAATGTAAAATGTTCTTTTTAGTTAGGACAGTAAAATACTAGGCCTGTTGTAATTACTTGGATTGCATTGGCACTGTTGAAGCTGACTGCTGACTCTACGACTGTTGTTGACCCTTTGGTTTTTACAGTGGACACTCAGCACCTCACAAAGCATGTGCTGTAAAACCTGCTGCAGCTGCGGTCAAACTTAAACTGTCGCTTGGGATTGTTTTAATAGACTGTGACGCATAAGCCCAGATATTTTTGGATGAAAAGAACTTTATAGCTAAATACAGTTTGATTGATTGACTTATTCATCAAGTCTATGAAGGTCTATGTTTAGTAGTGTGCGAGAAGGCAGACTCTGTTGAGATGACAAAAAAATGAATAAACAAAGCAGTAAGGATTTTTAAGACAAAAATAAAATAATAGCACAGTTTAAAAGCATTTACCTCGTGACTCAAGAGTAATGTGCATGCAATTCTCAAAACACTGACGAGAGTGGAGTCTACACCAGTGTGGGAGCCAATGTGCCCTTTGTGAGGTGACCTACCTTGATGAGTTTGCACCTAATCTGCGCAGACACCATGTGGCTGTTCCTCAGGTTGCCCACTCGGAACATGAGGCACAACTTGCCGTCCCGCTGAGAGATCACGGCGTCCTGGCTGAACATGAGCGTCTCCGCACGCTTTTTTGGCTGGGACATCTTGATGAACATGCAGCCGATGAGGAACGCATCCACGATGGATCCCAGAAGCGACTGGAAGAGAAACAGAATGATGCCTTCCGGGCACTTCTCGGTAATGTAGCGGTAACCGTAGCCTATGGTGGCTTCGGTCTCAATAAAGAACAGAAATGCAGAAGGAAAGTTATAAACGTTCGCGACGCACGGGGTGTAGGACGGGTCGTGGCCGCCGTGGCTCAAGTCCCCACGGATATAGGCGATTACCCACCACATGGATGCCATGACCAGCCATGCCACAGTGTAAGTGAGAATGAAGATGAGCAGGTTCCAGCGCCACTTCAAGTCCACCAACGTGGTGAACAGATCAGAGATGTACCGGCTCGTCTCCCCTCCAAGGTTACCGTGCTGCACATTACAGCGGCCGTTCTTCTCTACAAAGCGCTGTCTCTTCTTCTTGACTGGCGCTGAAAAAGTCATGCCCCGATTGGTGTTTACCACCTGGTAGTCCTCTCCAAATTTCCTGCGTATTGCAGACATGGTGTGGTCCTTGGTTCGTTGTCAGCTTCTTTGCGCAAGTTTGGCGCACAAAATCATCACCTCGCAGTGCGCGCGGTTCGCATGTTGCAAAGGAGGATACCTTGGTCTTGTGGATGCTGGAGAGTCTGCGCAAAACGCTGTCCTGAGTCCTCAACCAAAGTTTAGTCAAATGTTGCTCCAAAGTGACAAATACGCCTCCATTTACCGCCGTGCTTCTGCTGTGGCATGAAGACAATACGGATGAATCTTGTAATCGCAAGGAATGGCTCTACTGCTGCCTCAGCTTGTGAAGAGGCGCTCTGGTCCACTCCAAATTAAAGACCGGAGACTGACTGCAATGGCACTCTTAAACTGGAGTGAGATGCTCGTGGGGGTGAACGCAAAATGGGAGGTCTTATAGCTTGCGGCCAATAAGGAAAGCTATAAAAGCACTACAGCGAAAACAACGGTCAAGAAATGGACCATGGAATTGCGTTTGCTTTACTTTTAAAATATTTTTACATAGCTTATTTTCTTCACAATACAGTAGGCTTAGAATTCTTTAAGTACCCATAACAAACACATGCTTGGCACAGTTTAGAAAATCTAATTGATGGGTTGGCTCCCTCTAGTGACATTTAAGGTAAACTACAGTGTTCAGCCTCAACTACATCCCTCCACAAAGAACACATAAATTTGCCAATACTTAAAGAAAAAAAAAAAAACAGAAGCCCTACTGCCCGCTGAGCAGTGGTGGAAGTAGGCCTTCTTAATTTTGTTTGTAAGTAACAAAACAGGTAAGATACAGGAGCAAAAATACTCAAGTGAAAAAATGACTTAAGTCCCATGTTTAAAAGTATTTTGGGGAAAAAATTAAAATGTATTCAAGAATCAAATTGAATTATTTTAAATTGTGCTGATTTTTATTCAACAGAAAGAACTGACAGATCTACCTTTTTTTCCTTACTAAAGTAGTCTACCATAGAGTATACCTTTACTTTTGTTCTAAATTTGCCAAATTTGTATTAGATAACAAATTACAAATTGTATGTTTTTTGTTTGTTTTTTTCATTTGTAAAAAAAAAAAAAAAAAAAAGTCTAGAATACTTTGGTTTGATTTGGTTCTGGTCTAGGCTACTTATGAGAAGGTTCAGGTTGCAGTGATAATTAGGCCTATTAATAATAGGCTAACCATATGTTCACCTCATGACCCTAAAAGCAAAGCAAGTGAAAGGGAGGCTACAGCCCCTCACCTTGAGAGCGCTGCAGTGTTTGTCCCTGTTAGTGGCTCAACAAACATAACTGTTAAGGAGGAGGCGAGGATGCAAGTGTGTGTGAGTTATTTATTCATTTTCAAATCAGCTATTTTATCATGGCCTGTGGCAACTGCTGTGCATTTATCTCTATAGAAATGAATGGACTTTTCTGTTAAGTACAGGACAATGATTGCAAATTTTGTGGAGTGGTCCCAGCCAAACCATTTGCTCCTAAACCATGACAGGACCAAGGAACTGTTGATTGACTTCAGGACAAAAAGGACGCCAGTGGAGTCCGTCACCATCCAGGGCCATGACATAGAAATAGTGGACTGCTAGTACCTTGGCGTCCATGTGAACAACAAGTTGGACCAGAGACAACTGTAATGCTGTGTATAAGAAGGGCATGCATAGACTCTACATCCTGAGAAAGCTTTCAATGTGTACAGCAAGTTACTTGAGATCTTCTACCAGTCTGTGGTGGCCAGCACCCTGTGCTTCGCTGTGGTCTGCTGGGGGATAGACACCAGTAAAAGAAAAAACATTGGGTGGATTGACAACTGATCTGTAAAGCTGGTCATGTGATCGGCTGTGAGCTGGAGACATTTGTCACAGTGAGAGACAGGAGGACAGTGGACAAACTGCTCTCTGACATGGACACTCCAGCTTACCCACTGCAACAGATAACCCTATGTCCTGTCATTCATCATATCACCTTTCAGTGTTTTCCTTACAACCTCTTATATATAGCTGAGATATTTTTATTACTTATTATTATTTTACTCGTACACATATACCATATCTGACACCAGTATCTTGCTAATTTGCTACATATTTAGAATGTATTATTACCATTTATATATGTGTTTTTCTTTGTTATTATAATAAAATTTGATGTGTGAGCTACTGTGTCCAAGTATTTTCCCTTGTGGATCAATAAAGTTGTCTAAGTCTTTAATGCAGCACAAATTTGTTCAGAGAGACAGAAACATGCCACTTACTCTTACCCACCAACTCCTGTGGTCAGCTTTTGCTTAGATTGTTAGCAAATGGTTGTGAAGTGTGAACTTTCTGAAAGGCATAGGCCTATTGCTTTAGAATCTAAATTGAAAGATAGTTAGGCCTAGTCTACCAGCAACATAAGCTTAAACTATGGGCCAAGTGTTTAATGCAGCCCTTTTTCCTGCTGAATTAGCCTAAATGATGAGGCATTGTGATATAGGCTTAAAATTAATGTATGGCTCTGTCAAACCTCTGTTGGGTCTATTAACCCACGTCAATAACTTGCCTACTGTATTCACCACGAGCTGTGGCCCGCCCCTTCATATAGTCTATATGCAGCCCTTTGGACGGCCCTACGGCCGTTGGCCGAGGCTATAGCCCATATGCCTTCATGAATCATGATAGGTTCAAAATCATGATGTAAGATGAAGCTCAGTGAAAGTTTTTTGCCACAGCAAATCCAGCACTGCATGTCCACATGAAGTTGTAATTATCCTACTATTAAATCAATACGTTGATAGACCTAGTAGGCCTACGTTTAAGCCTGTTATAGGCTAAATAATTCAATGTTACCTAGTTTACAACCACATAATAAAAACGCAGACCCGGGCGAGGTCATTGCTGGTTGATTTATCTTGGCCCTGCAGTTTTTGCAGTGTTACATTTTAGCCAGCTATTAAGTAGTTTTCCATAGGGTTTGCGAATGTGTGAATGTAGTTTAGAACTGCAAAGTGTGATGTAGGCTACAAGCCTATAGACTGATCCTATGCCCTGTAATGCTGCTCCCTTGCTGTCTCCTCTCACGACCCGTCCGCTTCAAACTCCCACAATTCCCCGCGCCAGGACAAGATGGAAGAAAGCAGCGACCGCCGGAGAACAATGTTTTGGCAATAAAACCCCGAATCAGTGAATACGGACAGTATCTATGTACGATTTAACTTAATTGCGAACATGTGTAGGTAAGTACCAACGTAAATAACATTTTATATTACATATATAGCGAAGAATTATTGAAATATAGCCGACGAGATTGCCTTGCCTAGCTCGGCGCATACGAGATGCAGCCCAGCGAGCATCATTGTTTCTCTTGCATGGGTTAGTGTATGCTGAATTAGGTATCCACGAGGATACGACATTCTTTTATCCTGATCACAGATTTCGACTTACATTATGGTTTTGATTAATTTGGAAGATAAATGAAATAAACCCGAATAACTATAAAAATCATTAAATCTCTCCTTAAGTTGAAATAAAGCTACAAAGCGGTACATGCTTTTTTTAATACTATTGGTCCGTAGATCTTCAAAGTGTTAATTGGTTTCGAAAGCTGTTTAGATCAGTAGAAGTCGATCCTTATTGTTCTGCGTCTTATTTTTATTACTTTAATTAGGTTAAAGTATCTGCTTTTCGAGTTGGAAAATGCTGTTATTTAAATCTAATATATCGGGTCAGGTTAAACGAAATGCTACATTTTCATTAACTATAACCTTAAATAAAAATACTGGAGTAGAAAATATTAATTGAAGAGGATTTCATTGGCATTGGGAGCTACAATTGAGTGCAGCACAGTAATGCGGGTGTTCAGAGGGGCTACTAGCTAACTAGCTAGCTCATGGCCGAGACTTGATTGTTATCAATACGACAACACAATCGAAGCTCGTGTGTATATATGTGGCATGGGCACCCGATATGAAGCCCTCACATGGGTCACGTTTGTTGAAGACTGTTTGTAGTTGTAAAGCACGCTGGTAAGCTTTATCCGGTTGTTGTCGCAGCTAAAGTTAGCTATCAATAAATAGAGCGCCAGCCACAGCAGTGCTTTGCAGCCAGACAGATTTGATTTCATGAGCGTCATCAAAGCTCGGGAATTGAACAATATGGTCCTCTTCGGTTGTCGTCGTCACTAATAGTTCATGCATTTATTTTATTTATTTATGAACATTCGTTTGATATCCAGCCTTAGAAAGAGCACTTTAATGCAACAAAACCTCACTTTAGCGTTAGCCTTCTTGCTAACCATAGTATAATACAAGTTTCAACTTGAAAGTAGTTTTGTGTTTCACGTTGTTTTTGAATTATAAATGTGATTTTAACATACCAGTTAATTGTGTGATCATTTAATTGTCCTTGTTCGTTGTGTATGTAGCAATTCTTTTAGACAGAAATGTATTACTCCTGTATTGTTTCTCAGCTTGTCTAAGCCGGGAGCTAACTAGTCTGCTAACTATTATGCTTCACAAGAGCTCACCCACTGCCACAGCCTTATTGTTTTAAGAGATTACATTTTGACATTGTTAACAAGCTTCATTATATGTCTGTTGTTTGTCCTGTGTATGTCACTGAAATGTATATTGCTATATAAAACATATTGTTTTTAACAAATATTATATACTCCAGGTAATTCCATTTGCGTTAGTGTGAAGAAAAATGTAACGCAACATGAAGCATTTAGATTAAAAAAAAAAAAACATGGCCTAGTACATTAAAACTAGTTTTTGGGGTCACTCAAATCATGTAAGCATTTCAGTACTGTTAATTGAACAGTTTAATTCAATTTGATTAATTGTGTCTTGCTAGATAGTTGCATGCCACAGTTGTCAAGTACTGAACCACTGAGATAGTTCTACAACAAACCCTTATATTAATTTTGTGTTCTTTCTTTAGGATTTCAATTTCCTGCAGTTCGCTGTAGCATTATCAGCTGCCTTCTGTCTGAAGTTTCCAGCACCACCATGAGTATTATCCAGGACAAATTAGGCAATGAGTTTTTGCGCAACGGTGGAATGGATCCCAATTTTGCACCAGGCATGCTCATGTTTAGCCACTTGCCTCCAGTCACCAGCTTTACACGACTGGCTTCCCAATCGGTTATGAACGAACTTCCACAGGAAATGATCCTGAAAAAGGAACGGGACACGCCGCCAGAAAATCAGGGAAATGCTGCTGCCAACCCAGGGGGCTTTCTCCACAGCATGGGCATTAAACAGGAACGAATAAATGAGCTTGATTATCGCATGCCCCTCTATGGCGGGAGTGCAGGAGTGCCTGTGAACTGTACCGGAGGGGGCGCGGGGAAGAGTGTTGATATGCCGGAAATGTCATACAGCAACCATCACCAAAATCACCAGAACATGCTTCTTCATGATTTGAGCCTCGTAAACGTGCGTGCTCCTGGGAAACCAGTAAAAGCATTTTCTTTCTTTTAGTATTTTTGTCTTCAACAGCTTTTTATGCCTTTAGATGCCTGGAAGAACAGATAAAGAACCAAAAGGTTCCTCTGTCAGAAGAGGACGAAGAAGCAATGGGGACGGACAAGGCAAACCTCGAAGGAAGCGCAACGATCCTGCCAAGGTTGGTTAAGCTTTTAGAGTGTATTGCATTTGCTCTCCATTGTTATTTACCAATGTGTTTACAATGTCCAATTGTAGGCCCTGATGTTAGATCCAGATGGAGCGTGTCTGTCTCCCAACTCCAAACCACATATCTGTGAGCATTGTAACGCTGCTTTTCGCAGCTCTTATCACTTGAGAAGGCATGTGCTCATACATACAGGTGAGCCTTTGGGTTTAATACATTTATTTATTTATTTAGTATTTATTCAGTTTTTTCTATCAGTTATATTTAAATTTGTAAATCAAGTTGCATTATATCAAGACACTGTAGTCATTTTCTCAAAATAATATATCGTAATTTTTGTGGAAATGATGGCATCAGAGGGGAATCAGGCTTGGGCTAGGGCATGACTCAGTTATTACTCATGGGTTACCGGGTAAGTTAGTCATCTTTATACTGGGAACTCATAACATTTGATCTTGAACTCTCACATTTAGTTTTAAAATAATAAAAATAAATTACTTAAAATTATTTATGTTAAAAGCTATCCATCCAGCTGTCCAACGCAGAATTATTTTACAATATAGCCAGAATAAAAATCATATTTCTATTTGCTCAGGTGAGAGGCCTTTTCGATGCAGTCAGTGTAACATGAGCTTCATTCAGAAGTACCTGCTCCAGCGGCACGAGAAGATCCACAGTGGTATGTTTCATCTTTGTTCTCTTTTTTTTTTTTTCTTCTTCTTCTTCTCAAAAATCCAATTCTTGCCCGGAAAAAAAGATTGTAATTGTTCTTTTCAATGTAGGGGTTCTTAAACTTTGCACACTGTCACTGATGCCACTAAACTAACAATATATTGTACCCAGGGGTATCACTGTAAAATTCAATATACTATTAATTTTAAGTGCTATAATCACTTAAATGTTGACTAAGAAATGCTGCTGTCAAAGTAAATCACAGCTTTCTTGATTTTGGAAATACTGCTTTTGTGATTCCCAGCCCAGTGTTTATGGAGTCCTTTTCCCCACTAACTATTTAAAATACATTAATCATTTTTCATTCATTATTTGGATTTTATGTAGCTACATGTTAACAATGCTCTAAAATGGAATGGAACCAGACTGACTTATTAATGCTTCTGTTTTTAAAGGTGAAAAACCTTTTAGCTGTGACCAGTGTAACATGCGCTTCATCCAGAAGTACCACATGGAGCGACACAAAAGGACACATAGCGGCGAAAAGCCATATCGATGTGACACCTGCCAACAAGTAGGTCTATTTTTCATTGCATAATCAATGCTGTGTTATTACTTAACATTAATGTTTTATTACGTAGTATTATGCATTTGCCAGAACATCGATTGTTTTTTTTCTGTCCAGTTTTTCTCAAGAACAGACCGGTTACTGAAGCACAAACGGACTTGTGGAGAAGCCATAAAGAAGGGCTTGGACCCAAACATGCTGGAGCTCAGTGAGGCCGAACTAGGCCAGGGCAGCTATTCACTCACTCAGGGAAACGCTACCACCTCTGGACGCAAGAGGGCCAAGTCGAAAAACGGAGAGACAGGTGAGCGCAAAAGGAAGAAGAATGCTGCAGCATCTGTGGCTGGAGTATCTTCTACAGATGGCATGGGCTTTAGCATGGAGCACCCGTCTGACTCTGCTGCGATGCATGGTCGCACTCCTAAACTGGTATTTAAAAAAGCTGGCCGGAAGAGCCAGGATAAAGGGCTGCTATCTCTGGAAGAGAGCACTGAGGGACAGAAACTGTTAGACCAGAAGGCTGGCTCCATGGATCACATGGAGGGCACAGGTCTGGATAATATGAGCATGCTACAAGGAACAGGGAGTACCAAGCAGGGTTCCACTACCACCAGCAACTACGATGATGCAATGCAGTTTGTTAAAAAGAGGCGTTACCTCCACGCGGTCAGCAGTGATTACGGAGCAGGGACACTGCACATGGCATCCCAAGCAGGAAGTGTCATTCAGGGCTCCTTGGGCCCTGAGCCTACACTGGCCATGTTGGACTCTCCTTTAGAGCTCAAGCATGACAAATCCGGCATTCCAGACGAGGTACTCCAGAGCCTGTTAGATCATTATAGCCATAAGCCTGAAGCAGCACACCATCACGACGTGACTTTTGACCTATCAGACCATCCTCATCACGTAGACCTTCAGCCAGCAGCCCCAGTGACGCCGGAGCTGGAGGATGATGCAGCAAGTGGAGGCGATAAGACGGCAGTGATGAGTGAGTACTCAAAGTTCCTCCTGCAGGCCCTAGAGCGCACCAGCCACAGTGGGCCTTTCCCCAGCCTGGGCTCCTCAGGGCCTTTCCCTTTGCTGTCCAGCAGCTCCAGTCCTACGGGACCTCTTTTTTCAGACAAGCATATATACACACAATCTCCTCTAGAGTGCTATCCTGCTGCCGTCTCTTCGCCACTCACTCTTGCCCCATCCTCTGCTTCCTCCTCATCCTCCTCCAAGTCCCATTACGCCATGCTGTCGTCCCAGGACAACTACCACCTCAGTCTGGACTCCAGTAGCCACCAGCAACTGACCCCGTCTCAGGAGCTGACTGATCAGCTGGACAAGCAGCATTCCCCTGGGGCCTTCAGCCTCCCTTCCCAAGACCTGACTGCCGTCCCAGAGAGCGCCAAAGGCCAGGCAGCCAAGACCGGGGCCAGCACTGCACCCACCAATGGCTCCAGCTTCCCCGAGCTGTCCCCCCTCAATGCCCCAAAAGAAACCACCTACCAGATTGAGAATTTCGCCCAGGCCTTTGGATCGCAGTTCAAGACAGGGCGCCGGACCCCTCTGAGCTACGGGAGTGACCCAAGCACAGAGGTGGATCCCCGAATACAGACTCCAGAATACTCAGGGTACAGCAGTTTGTTAGCTGATGTAAGCGAGCCAGTCAGTACAGGATCAAAAACCCAGACAAGCCAAAGTTTCAGATAAGGGTCAAACAAGGTCCAACCAGGGTCCTGTTACTGTCCATGTGGCCCCTTAACCATCCTTATTCTGTTTTTGTAGCATTTTTTTAAACACTGCCATCAATTGTTAATACAAAATGACCAGGGAGGGTCTTTATGGCCACAAATGCAATTTTTTAAATATTCATTTATCATGTATTTAGTGACCTAATTTTAAAGATTTGTGATTTTGATATGATCGTAAACTGTAGACTTTAAATTTAATTTAAAATATTAGAGGGTAGCTATGAACTTGCATTTGTTTCTGAACCCTTGTGTTTTACCAATCATCATGCCATTGTTAAGTAATAATGTTGATCTCAATAACACTTTTGGCAGGGAAAGGCCCAGAAGTCGAATGGCAAAAAGTATATATTGTCTGTTACGTATTAACTCAGGAAAAAGGCAAGACTTTGTATTGAGATGCAATTAGCACAGTTTTTACATGTGTACTTTGACTACAAAGCTTTGATTTTTTGGTGTTGCTTTTTGAATTTGCAAGGTCAAAATACAGGATTGTTCACTTTCAGTTGCGTGTATTGTCAAGATTATGGTACTGTTGTCATAGTGAAAACTTCTGTAATAATTCTGAGGGCTATTTTACATGCTGAACTGGTGAATTAAACCCACAGTGCATAGTTGACATATTGTGGTGTGCCATCGTAAAGAATCATGCTCAACCACTGGCTACCAATTCATGAAACATGAAATAGTTCCAACAAATTTCATAACTTTTAGCTGTTTCTGTTTGTCAAAGGAATCAAACAAGCACTTTTAAAACAAATAACAAATCATTTTTGGAAATTACATGAACTGAACAATTAGCATACAGGACTATTATGCTTATGATTATTTTAAAAGGAAAAAACTGTGAATGGGTTTGGGTGTTGTGGGAGGGTCTTGGGAGGAAGGGGGGATACGGGGCATGGGTTTTGATAGCAAGGGTGTAGGATTGACTATGGGCATTTAAATGTATTTTTGTTTTCAATGGTATATAGAGGGAGGGTATATGGGAGGGATGTTTTATTTTGTCCGGTTTATCGGGTTGTAAAAATAATTTGCCATAATTTTGTGATACAATATTTGAAAAGTACCTCTTTGTATTTAGTTTTTCTAAGAGACAGGCTGACATGCTGGGCTTTGTTGAATCTAAATCCGGGCATATGTTGGATGCATACACTCATACCCCTTTTATTTATTCCCCTCAATCCAAACAGATGTACTGTAGCAGACAGTTTTGGCAAGTAATTATTACCGGACCTGAACAGGTTTAGTTCCTCTTTTTTTTTTTTTTTTTTTTTTTTTATCACATCACTGCAAAAAGTTATTTCACTTGCTTAGAAAATATAACTTGTGCATTTTTCCTCTCCAAAATGTATGCCTCCTCACAAGAATAAACAATGGCCTTCTTTGTCTTCCATGGCTGAAGCCACTCTATCCCGAGCAGTCAGGGTTGATATTTAATTTAGTCGATTTCCTGTGAGCGTTTCCTCAAACTTCCCGGGGCCACGTCTGTTAGCACCACAGCCAAGAGACTTTGAAGCTGCTTAGATCACAGGGAACCAAGACTGACCAGCCACTCCGCGCCAACACTATGCTTTTTGGAAAAAAAAAACAAGACTGACCTTAATATACCTCATATCACTAAAGCGTAAGAAGCAGGGACATGCATTTCATGTATGTAGTGGACATATTTGTAGTATAGATTTGACATATTGTATAATCTTTTTAACACTGCTTGTGTTTACATCTATAGAGCAACAACTCCGCAACGTATTATTTGTTGTGATGTAAAAAAAACAAACAAAAAAACATTCACGCTAAGCAGTGTTGCATCTAGATGCCTCATAGAACAATTTTTCTCATGTTATATCCTTTATTTTTATTGCCATAATGTGTTTTTGTATGATCTTTAGAAGGATATTGTTTACATAAATGTACAAAAAAACACTAAAAATATGTCTCAAGTTTTGAGTTCCTCCAGTATGCATGATAAGACATTTTTGTATGGCTTTTTCTGACTTGTTGCCTCAATACCAAATTTTGTAGCAGAAGTCACTCCCTTCTGTTTTAGAACTCCCTTTGTGATATGATTTCCCAGGCTTTACTTGTTATTGAGAAGATGAACGGATTAGAGAAGCCAATAAATTTTTTGTTACAAAACGTGTTGTTGTGTACTTGAGTGAAGACAATTCAATTAAGTTTTAGTTTATCAAAGCAGACTTTCTTGGTTGCCCAGCTGCTGTTTGGTTTAAATGTCAGCAACCTTAAAGGACCAAACCTAAAGCAAAATGGACAACAGAGTAAAATGTCTCCAGTCACTAATGTGCCTCTCCTTGTCCAAAGCTGATAGTGACCAGAAGTGATGTCACAACACAGTGTCCAAACTGACACACATTCAACACGCAAAATCACCCTGTCGATAAGGAAAATTATTGATTGCTGACTTGGTCATCTGATCAGCTGTCTTGATGAATGTGAATTTTATGTCAGATTTCCTTTTAATATGTTACCTATCACTGTTTACAATGGCACTTACTGGAGACATCGGTCATAAAAGAATATGGGTTCCAGCATTAAACGATTTTTTTCTCTTCATCTCTTAACATTTGTAAATGTATTTTAGTAAATTGCTAATTTCTTCCTACAGTGTTATTTAATGGCCTACTCGTTTCCCCCTTTAATTCTGTCTCTTTTAAGTACATTTTTGGGAACAGTGCAATGGGTTAGGTTAAGATGGTAATAACTCAAGTGACTTTGGACTTCCAACCACAGCTGCAGCTCTGTCACATATTGACATGCCATGCCCCGATGCTCGTAAAACTCTTCAGATTATGGCAGCAACATGGCAACATATATAAACACAACATTCAGAGGGAAGGGACAGTCTTGTTTAAAAAACTGAACATTTGCATATATTTTTATTTTAAAGTTAAGCCTTTCATTAAAAAAAAACAAATATTTTTAGTTTTAATTAATATCAACATGGCAGTCATGCTTTTGTTTATTATTTATTATTATTTGTTGGAAGGTTCCTCCAAATATGTGTTATGCAGTTTCTTTGCCCTGAATTTAACAAGTGTTTTGCCATTCTAGTGTTGTCATGATACTTTTTTCTATACTAAGGAACAGACTCTATTCCATACTGTTTGCAATATCACGATGATAGTAAAAACATTCTTCATTTACATAGTATAATGCCATTTTCAACAATCGACAATAGTACTTTCTTTTATATTACATGTCTTCTTATATCTGTGTAATCCCTCAGTCATCCAGTTGTATGTGATCTTAATACTTGTTCTGATACAGCTCAAGATCATTTTAAACCTATTCAGGAAAGGTTCACTTCTGTCCTGTGAATGGGACTTTTTTAGTATCAATACTCGCTCAAATTAATATCTAGTTTCGATACTAGTTTTAGTAACGATTACTTACTGATTTCCGATACTTTTGACAACCCTATGCCGTTCATGACCTGGTTATAAAATCAGTTTGAAAACAGCTGTGTTTCGTGTCATCATTCTTATTTTTATGTCATGCTACACTTTCCATTACGTTAAATCCAAGACTTTATGAACACTTAAATGGGATCAAAGTCAACTTGGAGATAACATTTCTTTATGATTCCTCATGTAACCTGGGGTTGATTGTATTTTTATAGTTAAAGACTTGTTTAATTGCTGTTCTTCTTTCAGGTTGCATTCAAGACCATGTTGTTTTAATATTTAAACTGCTGTAATCTTTCCATTGAAATCTTTTTTCCCTATTCTGGCTGAAAAAAATGTGCAGTCCAATGAGGAAGTGTGTTTGTCTAAATTGCTTCAAGGTCAATTGTCTGGGAGGGGTAGAGCCATAAAGCAATACTTTGGCTTGGATCATTGGTTTATTACCTTATGATGATACATGTTGTTTTATTGTGTACCAGGTCTAAAATACAACATTATATTAAATTCTGTTATTGATGTGTCTCTCAACTAAATCCTATTCTTTAATCTTGTGAACCAAAATTAAATCAGAATGAAGTTTGGTGCTGCAAATGTATTGTATATATTTACAAGGAAATATTGAATGGCCACACCGTTTGTGACCTCTGAACTTTGAGCTCCAGGTGCCGCCTTAAAAGGAGGGGCTAATGATTAAAACCAAATGTAGGACACCACCTCAGTCATCATCATTTTAAGGTTGTGAGGGACCACTGGACACTTGCTTTTAAAGATTAAGCATAGCTTCCATAATGGCACTGAAACTCCTCATCTGCCTGCTTTTTGTGATTGCGGGTAAGTAGATCATTAAACCTACTACTTAAGTCAATTTATTTTTCTAATTTTTAATCTCCTGTCGGGGTAATTGGTTTGATTAATATATATTCACTCAAAGTTGTGCTCAGGAAGTTTTTTTTTTTTTTTTTATTGTGCTGCCTATACTAAATTGGTGTGACTGATCTATAATATTACTTTAAAAATATTTTCAGTTTAAAAGGTTTTAATAGCAGATCTTCAGTATTTTACCTCCAAAGACATGGTTAGGTTAATATTTGAACAACTGCTTGACACACACGTTTTAGCATCACTACACAGCCCTGTTCCTTTTCTTTGTTTGCCCTACAGGCTTTTAGATACTTAAAGTTGTAGGTTGTGAAAATAGTAAACAATATCAGTTTGTGCTTGGAAGGCCCTGCTCAATATCAGAACTAAGGCTGGGTAATAAACTTGAATCTCAGGCCAATTCCTGTGACAATATGTGGCATGTTGCTAATTCAATCTGTGCTTCTCTGTAATGGAGCTCTATGCTTTAAACCCACTAACCAGGCTTTAACCACCAATCGCATACTTCAATTTTTGTACATGTATCATTATAATCCAAATCATGACTCCAAGAAAATTGTGATATTATTTTTTGGCATATCACCCACCCCTACTAATGTCATTTGACTTTTGTTCTTTTCATGTGTTTAGTTTTTCCTGACACAGCAAGTGTGGAAGGCTCAACAACAACACCCACAGCAATCATACAAACCTCACAAAACATAGCAGCCGCAGAACCACACAAACCCCACAACCCACAACAACCACACAAACCCCACAACCCACAACAACCACACAAACCCCACAACCCACAACAACCACACAAACCCCACAAAACGCAACAACCACACAAACCCCACAAAACGCAACAACCACACAAACCCCACAAAACACAACAACCAAGCCGTCACCTACAACTTCACCTCCAGGTATTTATATCCAAAATCAAATTACATGGATCCAAAATGTCTCTGTTTTGATTTTAATAACTGTTACTGATTACTTTAACAATAGGTCAAGGTTTTTCAAAAGTAGATAACTCTTTTAAAACTCCTACAAGCTGATGAGCATATTTGAAGGTTAAATAAATGGACCCATATAGTCCTTTGTATAGGTCTGTTTTGGTGTTAAAGTGCAGATTTGTAGTTTAGCTTGTGCGCATCTATGTATTTATTTTTATCAAACTGATGCTTTATCTGGACTAAACTAGAATCACTTACTGTTTATTAACCTGGTATGATCCATTACTTTAAATTTCAGATCTCTATTAAGCTTTTTTTTTTCAGTTCAGATACAGAATGCACCATCATAGTCATCAATACAAAGTTGGAAAAATTATGTTTATATTGTCTCATTGAGCTACATCCATTCCCGTACAGGTGTTTGCAACTCAAATCCGTGTGACGGGGGAAGCACCTGTCAGGAAAGAGCAAATAGTACATATGAATGCTACTGTCTAACTGGAGACTATTATAATGGACATCAATGTGTTCGGGGTAAGTATTCCATTTAAACAACATTGTCAAAAAAACATTAAACACAATTCTAACTTTTTTTTATATTTTAGCCAAAGTTTTTCCTGGGCAGTTAACCTACAACAAGTCTTATGTAGAGGGGATGGAAAATACCAAATCACTCATATTTAAAGAAACTGCAGATGACATAGTTAATGAGGTAAAATGTTAACTTCATGACAAACATCTTTTACCCTCATGGCATTTGGTGACTTGTATTTAGTTTCATGTCACTGTTACATTAACAACAACATTAAGCAAAGCCAGAAATAAATGTGCTGTGCTTTATTCATGAGTTACAAGCAGCAAAATAATTAACTTACATAATTGCACTTTATAAACAATGTTATTTTATAGGTGCACTACACATCACCTGCTTGCTTCTATGGATATGTCATTGCTCTGCCTGGAATGTTCCACTCTATGACATTAAACAGCTCTACTTTACATTTATACAATCATAGGTCAATTTATAGCTCAAAAATTCTGAGAAAAACATATATTCAGACTTTGACTGGGGTTGCATCTCCACAGATCTGAGCTGTAACTTGGTTTGGTTTAATCTTCATGTGAGGTTTAATACTATACTATAAAACATTCCAGACAAAGAAATAACATCTCCATGGAGAAAAGCATTTGACAGACCCTCCACCAGAAAAGTTACACAATGCACCTTTAAAATGCATGACAGGTTTTCATGTTTTTCTAATTATTGCAAAATACAGTATAAAGGTTTTGTCAGTTATTTGTATTAGTCTAATCAAAACTATTGTGCAGTTTAGATAATCTCTTACTCTTAACATTATGCTTGCTAGATAACATGGAATTTATCTCTACATATGTCATATCTGCTGCCCGTGTCCAAAGAGGAAGTAAAATGATAAACTTCACCGAAATGTAAAAAAATACAAAGAAAATGAAGAAAAGATATTTATTTAAAATCTTAAATATAATTATGTTAACAATGTTTTAGTGACACGTGTAGTCTAACCTGTCATATGCACTTCAAATTATTAATCAAAACTGTCTTATTTGACGATTCATATTAAGATTAACAATAGTAGCTAAAATTTAATATTGAAAAAGTATATACATGTAAAAATCATTACAATCTGGTGTAATGTATTCTCATGTACACAAAAATGATTACTTGACTGGTGTTATATGGCCCATGTTTTCTTATCAAACCTAGATGGGTAAGACGTTTAAAGACTCTGCAAAGAAGTATCTTGACACTACTGTACTTAAACTCAGGTGAGGGATTTTGTTTTCATGTTTTAGTTCTACTCATCTGATTATATAATTACATGTTTTATAATCTTGACGGTAACTGTTTTTGTTTTTATATAGCAAAGCAGGAACGAAGATGATGAGAGCAGCAGGAATTGTCGCTACGGTGGACATTAAGTTTGACTTAAGTTCTGACGTAACAACTGCAGATGTTAAAACAGCGGTAGCGGATGTAGGAGCGTTTAACGGTAGATATGGTTTTTATACATATACAATAATAAATATAATATGTTAACTGTAATGTTTGTTTGTAATGTCTATTTTTCCTACAGAAAAAAATTTATGTGACGATAATCCATGTGATAAGACCACAACTACGTGTAACAAAAGTGAGGGAGATTTCAACTGTACCTGCAACGAAGGGTATATTCCAACAAACTTTAGTGATCGCATCTGTGCTGGTAAGTCCATGTCCCAATTGACAAAGCAGTGGTACTGAAACTTCTATAACAATAAGCTAATTTTCTTCTTTTTAGCTTGTCCAGAAGGTCAAAAAGCACAGAATAATAACTGTATAAAGTAAGTCAAATACACTTATAATAAGATATATCTACATATACTACGGAATAAAATGAACTAAATATCTCTTTTAGATGTTCGTTTGGCTACTCGGGTTTCAACTGTGACAACAGTAAGTGATTAACAAGACATAAAACACGTAGCTGAAACTGCATAGAGATTCATTTTAGAGAACGTAGCCTGTGTAATGTAAACATGCAATTACAGATACATACAAATAAGAAAACATTCAAAATCAACCATATTTGTTTGTGTGTGTCTTTTCAGATTGGCAGCTGATTCTTGTCATAGTTGGCTCCGTGTTTGGGGGTTTGCTGCTTGTCACAATAATCCTTCTACCAGTAGTGGCTGTAACGTAAGTAACACTCGAAGGAATATTGTTTTATTTTTCTTCAGACGTTAAAAGTGATACTGAACCTTTTCTCTTCAAAGGACAAAGAAGAAATTCAAGAAGGGGAAAGGGACTGACAATGAAAAATCTTTTATGAACACTGCACCTATGAAGACCCCGCAGATTAGCAATGGTACTGCGGCACCGCGACCCATTCCAGCTCAAGCCTCTCCAGCCGGGGGACGACCAGGGTTTGGGGGCAACGGTGTGCCAAGGATTCCACGAGCTACAACTAATGAAAGCTGGGACCGCAGTAACCTCGAGATGGTGCCAAGCAACAGCCGGCAAAACCTTATTCCTGTTGGAAGAAACTCTGTAAGCAACCCCCAGCTTCACTTAGCAATTAGGGACCAATTTTAGTTAGTTTTTTTTAGAATGGATGTCTTCGATCATATGTTTTTAATTAGACTATAAATATTTTTTGTATGCGTAAATCTACCATTTTATTGGCCAGGTACGTTGGACTGGGATGGGTAAGTAGTTAGGCCCGTGACAATACAACATTATGAAGGGCAATATGATTCTGAAGACAACGTAGACAATAAATGAAAAATATTGAAACAGCAAAATTATTCTAAAAACTACTAAACAGGATTATCTTCTTCCCAAGTATTTTTTTCAAATTCCTACAGCTTAAATGTCATAGCAGTACAGAAAAATATCTAAATCTCCCCCAAATATTTTTCCATGATCTACCATTTCTTTAACAATATGTCGATAGAGTAATAATCTTACATGTAGTCCGGTCCCTCTGAGATGGTTTAAAGACCCTGTTATTCGCCAAAGTTGGTGGCTATTTCCCATGACATGTAAGGAGGTTGAATTGTTAAAATATTAGAGGAAGTTGTATGAGTTGAGTCCAGATCTGGTATTATCTTAGCCTTGTATAATTAATTACTAACACCTTAGTTGAAGCCCTCTGCTCTCTAGAGTGTTCTTAGAAAGTAGCAACCTCACAACTTTAATCATGTAGCAAAATGATCAGCATGAGCAACTGCAAATGAGAGTTTAGTGTGTTATATATATCTTACTCTGGGAATACTGGGAATACAAGCAGCACAACTCCTCTATCTATCTGTAGTAGTCAGTGTTCCCCATTAATAAAGGAGATTGGTCTAAAATTCTCCTGTGGTCAAAAACAGCATGGACATAGGCATCACAAAATCATGCTTTGTTTCCCATTATATTAAAACAAACATTTAAAAATAACTATACTGAGCAAATAGGACTGTTAAATAATTGTTTAAATATAGGCAATGTATACTCTTGTATGAATGATTTTTCTCTTTTTGTAGCGTCGCTATGATGATAATGATGACTCAAACCCCTACAGTCGTCCAATGAGACCACAGAGCAACCCGTACGCCATCGGACGACCTCAAGTCAACCCCTATGGATCCAGTCAGGGACACAGCAATCCATACTACAGTAGTGCTGATCGCTACTAAATGATTCTCTGCATTGCTCCTATTCAGTTTTGGGTTTCAGCTTCCAGGTTTATGCAACACTTAGATAGAGATTTACTATATTGATTCTAAATAGTTGGTCGCTAAGGCAACATCATCATTTTTCATCACTCTGAATCCCATTGCATTAATCACAAATTGGATTTGTATTTTATGTGTGTGTGTGTGTGTGTGTGTGTGTGTGTGTGCGCCTGTGTGTATAAATGTAGCAGATGTTTGAATGAAATGAAATGAATGAATTAAACTTTATTCTTGTTTAATGCCAATTTCTTTGTGTGCAGTTTTGCATTTGCATTTGTTTATTTACAGTTTAAGAGAAATCACCTAAAATGTTAAATCTCCATCTTGTAATTTTTCTATTATATGTGCATAATATATATTTATTTATGTTAATGGTAATAGTCTTCTAAATAAACAAACTGTATATATTAGTTTTGTGTTTTTTTAAAGCTTAGAGAGCAACATTGTAGTTTAATATTTCTTTACAATAATTTCATGAATAAATGGGGGTACTATTCAACTGGTAACCACACGAGGGCGCTAAAGTCCAGGCCATTGTCTCCGCATCTGCATCTGCATAAAAGGCCAACGGTACTAAAATATACGTTCAAATACATAACTTCTGCACAGGTATTAGTACTTAACAAATTGAAAACTTTTGTGTATTTAAGATTGTACTTGCTATTACTGTATGCTGCCGTCCCTATATCAAATCCAGGGACCTAAAATTGAATTTGCCACTGAATTGAGGAATTATTTTAGTTTTAGCACTTTACACTAAAATAAATGAAAGTTGTATATTTGTTTTCTAGCCACTGGGAAGCCACTGGGAAAACAAAAAACAAAACAAAAAACATACATTTTACCGTTATTATTATCATCACGTCTGTATTCTTGTTAAGACACACATTAAGACACAAGATTTTGGAGGAATGCACATGATCTTGTCTAGAAATTTGGAAGTTAACTTGCTTGATATAATAACATTCTACATAATATATTACTGTATGGCAGTATTTTTACACATCATTTAAATGTGAAAAGATGAACATGAGATTTCATTAACTTAACTAAATGCAAATGTAGTGTTTGACAAATGTATGTTATAACTACACTGCTCAAAAAAATAAAAGGAACACTTTAAAAACACATCAGACTTCAATGTGAAAAAAATATGTTGGATATCTATACAAATATGGACAGAGCAATGTCTTTGGAACAAAAGGATGCCACCTCTAACAACAGGGGCACTAGTGTAGCAACAATGATACAACGCCTAAAACAGGGTTGGTTTTGCACGTGGAGGTCATTTCAAGTTTCTCCCTCTTGATCATTTTTGGCTGGTTTTCCACTGCTGGCACAGAGTGGGTATAACTCCTGGAAGTATGAGTCCATTCCTTAACCCTAAAGAAGTTGGACAATCTGTGCACATCCTGATGTGCCGTTGCAAGGATCCCAGCACAATCTCCAGAACACGGGGAAATTTCAGGAGGCACGCAGTTACTCTGGGAGAGCTGGACAGGGCCATAGAAGGTCCTCAACCATCAGCAGGACCCATATCTCCTCCTTTGTGCAAGTCAGACCCTACACTGGTGTAGTAAGTCCTGGGTTCCTCCTGATGCACAACAGTGCCCGGCCTCACGTGGCAAGACTATCATATCTGGGTGAAAGCACTGATACAACTGAATGGCCCTCATGATCACCTGACTTAAACCCAATAGGACACCTCTGGAACATTATTTTTGGCTCCATCAGACGGGTTGCTCCTCAAACTCTATAGAAGCTCAGTGATGCCCATACACAGGTCTGGTAGGACATCCCACAAGACACCATACGTTGTTGTCTCATTAGGTGCATGAAACACAGCGCTGTCAAACATACCAACACACTGGGGCCACACAAAATACTGAGAAGCATTTTGAGTTGCAGAAAGTAAATTTTGGCAAAATGGGCTAGGTCGTCAGATTATTATTTCACTTTGATTTTCAGGATGTCTATAAAATTAAGCTCTCTGCATTCTTTTTTCACATTGAGATATGATGTGTTTTCAAAGTGTTCCTTTAATTTTAAAGAAGAACAGATCTGAGGAACTCCAACGTTTCTTCTTTTTCTTCTTTTTAATGTAAGTGAAGTTTTTCCACTGTGATCCTGATGAGCACCTGACCTGAACTTTGACTCACTGAAACACTCATCTTTCGCTTTTTAGTCTGTTCCTTTAATGTTTTTGACCCGCTGTGAATGCTATATCTTTAACACACCTCCGGGTCACTATTCTGTTTTTGCTGATGTGCACAGCAAAGAAGCTTATAAAAGTTAATCTTAGTTGAAGTTTATATAGAAGAGGTAAGCCATAAAAAGCTATATTATTCATGTGATGTTGGTGGAGGAGGTTAGGCATCTGCACATCCTCTTGCTCATTGAGAGTGCATGAAAGGACCAAAGTGAAGGCCTCGGACAGTGCTCTGGTACAGGGCACCAATGAGCACATTATGGGGCTAAAGGGCCTATATCTTCTACCTCTATTACTGATCCTCCAAGAAATTAAATTCACTCAAGGTAAGTGGGGACCCTATTTGATTGTTCAAACAGAGAATTGTCCGCAGTTTGTCTAAAAGGTTTTTAAGAATTGCAGAATCAGATACATAGTGTAATCAAGACTGCACTAATTGAGACCAAGACCAGTCCGAGACCACAAGGTCCCGATACCGAGACAAGACCAGGACTTCTGAGGGTCTAGACCGAGACAAAATGGAGACTTTTAAAGGTCGAGACAAGACAAGACCAAGACTACGGCCCATCAAGACCAAATCGAGACCATGTTTTAATTTTCAATATTTATTTGTATGTTCCAGTTATTTTGGCACATATAGGCCTAGGCTATGTCAGTGTTTTTATAAATCTATCCCCATTTGATCTGATAAACTTTAATATAAGCTTAAAATAAGCCAAGCACTGCATCTTTCACAGAAAACTGCTTCAAAGTGAAGGAACTGTGTAGGATTTTTTAAAACAGCCTTCCAGACCGAGACAAGACCGAGTCCAAATGCGCTTGAGCCGGAGTCGAGACGAAGTAAAAATAAAAAAAAAAACAGTTTTGAGGCCAGTCTCGAGACCAAGACCGGTCTAGAGTACTACGACACTACGAGAAACATATGTGATAATTTCTCTCAATCAAAGTTCTTTGATAAAATTGTATTGTTTATGCCGTTTTATACATTTACACTAAAATTCAAGCAGAATAACGAGAAGGTTCGTTTGCAATATCTAGTGCAAAATTTTCTAGAGGGGAGGGCCACAGCGTCTGTAGGTGCCTGATGTGGCAGTCACTACAAAATATCTAGATCTCTTTCAACAATGATAATGTAACAACTATATAGTAATTCTATATTAGGCAAGACTTTTCTAAAATTGCTGTGGCAAATTTCAAAACCAGGACTTGCTAACTTTACAAACATGCTCAAATATGTAGGCCTATTGGATACTTGTTTAGCAGTTCATATTTGAATGTTCTGTCAAAACTTTATTCTCCTGGATGTGTTTATAATGTGGACTGTGAACTGAAGTAGATTAACAATTAATAATTAAACAATTAAAAATTGCAATTAGTTTTGTTTCCCCCAAAGTATGCAACGCTTGTCTACAAAAGCCTGGTACATGCACCTGACTTGTGCCTGAGTGACAGACAGGAAAGAGATTTTACTGACTTCAAGTCCACATGACAGGATCCAATCTAGGAGCAAATTTACAGGTTTGGTCACATGCTCCATGGGCCAGAAAAGAGCCCATAGCCACCATAAACACTTAGTCACTAAGTTTCTAGAAATGCAGTAAAAGACACATTTTACTTAAGTTTAAAGACATTTATGACTCATATTAAGATAATGATGTTATTTATTGAATCCTTAAAAATATATAGTTGTAGTTATACCATATCATCTTCCATCATTGTTCCATTATTTTCAGTAACTGTTTTTGTAATCTGCGTATTTTTTGAGAGTTCATAACAATCACCCCTTCAGTATGCTCATTTAGATGATTTCAAACACTAGCTTTATTTACAACTTCTCTGCCTTGTTGTACTCCCTGCTGGTGTTTATAATACAAATTCTATGTCAGAGATCTTTTGTTTGTTTTTATACATTATTTGATTTTAAAGACCAATGATAAAGTATTTCTGCATGATGCTAACATAGGATTTTAAGGTTGAGGTAAATTATGTAACCTATTTTTTTAGGAGCATGTAACAGTGGACAGTTTCAATGCAACAATGGACAATGCATCAACAGTGAGTGGCGTTGCGATGGGACAAAAGACTGCACAGATGACTCAGATGAGCTGAACTGTCGTGAGTATTGCAAACCTTCAAGTGCCTTCAACAATATGTGTGGGGAACAGTAATTATAGGGGCCAGAGAGGGTCAACCAACTTATCAAAAAGTACATACATAGCTCAAAACATGTTAAATGTTGTTGTTTAGCTCCACCAGCATGCACATCTCAGGAGTTCAAATGTGTGACCAGCGGAGAGTGTATCTCAATAGGATTTGTCTGTGATGGGGAACCGGACTGTGTCGATGGCTCTGATGAGCAGAGAACATGTGGTATGTGGTATTTTATTTGTTAGCCAATGGTGAATTTACAGTGTTGAAAAAGTTTACAAACAGCAAGAGAATAGAAATAGACACTCAAAAATAAAGCCTATAACAGAGGACAGTGCAGCATATAATACATCATTTGCAACTGTGGTTTGGTGATATGCAAAATGAGTTCTCCAATGAGTGCCTTGTCTATAACAGGGACGTCCAAACCTTTTTATTAGGTCTAACAGCAGCACAGTGAAGTATAGTAGGAGCTGAAGTCCATGGAGCTGTGGTCAATATGGAAACTGTAAATGGTTCCACTTAACTGCTGCCATTCCACACTGTGTGATTTAGACTGATTTAGATCTATGCGTCAACCTTAAAAGAGTAATGATAATTTACCTCTCAACAAAAATATCTTTACATTTTGAAGTTCTTAGACAGAAGTTGAATGACGGACTGTAACTACATTTTTCTTCACAGGCCATCATATTACAGTGTTTGTTTGTGTATTTACCGGTACTATCTTTGTAGGCTATATTGTTAAAGATGCTACATTATATATAATTGACTCCTGAGAGCTTTTAGCTATGTTATAATGTCATTACGTCCTCAAACATACCTGGAGTTGTGCTGTGTTGCTTTGACATGTTTGACTAATCCTTTATTATTAGTCTGTCTCATCACATCTCCAAGGCTCAAAATGTTCCACCTTGTGATGTCATGACATGGGGAAATTTTCAAGTTAACAGCTACCTTTTAGCCTTTATTCAGTAGAT